GTACAATACAGAAATAATATTTGAAAACAAAATTTAAACATCAACAAACTTTACAAGTTGTAATGATTAAAAAATACAAATGTTTATAACTGATTATAATTCTTAAGGGGAAACATTAAAAAATGACAACACAAATATCATAATAAAATAATTAATAATGAAATAATAATTAACAATAAAAGTAACAACAAAGATATATGTAATGTCTCACCACAATTTTATAGTTTTTGCACCAGAGACCAATGTAATATTGCCACCATTCATTAGTACAAAAACAACTATAAATACAGTAGCGTTGATAACACAATTATTATAGTCTTGCCTGTGATTTTGTTCTTGGGTGTACTACTTTAAGTGAAGTCAACATTATATTTTCAGATGTCCTGTACTGTATATGTGTAAATTTGCCCATATTTATTTGAAGTAAATCTAAATGCTAAGATAAGGCCTTTATACAGGGTTCTTGTCACTGTAAACATGTAAACAGAATTTGAGAAATTACATAGGACGTAATCCAAATACATATCAATGGTGGGTTAATATTATTTCTAGATCTTTCAAACACTGTACTGTCTGAAAGTATGCCAGTACATAACAAGGGCTCAAAACATTTACATCATAAATATGATGAGAACTATTCTGCTAGCAGATTGGTGGGTAGCTGTATCATAGTTAAAACAATATATTGAAATAACAATGCAGAATAAAATTTAGCATTACATAATACCCTTTAGGGAAATTAAATGCAAGTCATGTAAAGCACCCACTAATATATAAATATAAAAACACAAAGTAATAGACAAAATTTGAGACTTGAGCCATGTGGCAAAACTAGTGGGTGGAAATTGTAAACGGACAAAGCCTAAAATGCAAAGAGAACGCTAGGATAAGTATTATAAACTCTATTTTTAACAATCGTAGTACCTGTCCTTGCTGTCTATTTTTCATGTTAACAGTGGGTGGTTGTTTTAACAACTATATCATTAACGTTTCCAATACTTTACACTGTAAGTTATACTTGTTTGTACCAACTAATTATGTGACCACTCCCAGTTGCCAATTGTGTCTATTACAAGTAAGATTAAAGTTAGAAAATTTAAATACTGTATTTATCTGAATAAATGCCATGCTTTGTATATATGCTCCTCCAGAGCCCAATTGGGAATAAACTCCTCCCCCAAATAAACGCCCTGGGGGATTTATTTTTTCCTCAAATAATGATTGTAAACAAAACAAATTCAAGCAACATCATTCTCAACGCATTCTATTAATACTCTACTCAAGTAGAATTACATTTTTTAAAACCTGGTTGGGATCAATAAGTCTTCATAATCACGTAATAACACATTTTGACGGTAATTATGTGTTGTAATTCTACAGAGTGAAATTAAGGGGCGCTTGTTTGAGTACATGTACATACACATGTATATACATATCCATTTTACACCAAAATTAATAAATAAAGTACCTCCCTCAAAAAATAAATGCCCGGGGCATTTATTCGAATAAATACAGTATACAAATTACAGTCCTTTGAATCAAATTCAGTGTGAATTCACCTCATTAGATATACCTGATTTTTTAATAGCACAATTGCTATAACTGCTATATATGAGAGTATGGTCAGAATAATTGACTAATGTTTTTACCTTGGGTTCTAAAACCCTGGGAAAACTGAACATGTTTAAAAACAATCTTCTGATGAATAAGGATTAGTTATGACCATCACATGATCACCTCAACCAAGAGAGGGCGCTAAATAATTATGCTTAATAATAATTTCTCCGTATTTTGATTAACTCCACGATCCATGGTTAGCAGATGCTATGAATTATGATCAAGAACATTATACCGTAATGAAAATCATACAATCAGTAATTTTTGGAGTGACGATAACTGGATATAACAATAATCATTTGATCCATTTACAACCAGAAACTTCAATGTGAAAAACCTGAGAATACAGTACCCCTAAAATTAAACTCGTAGAATTTCCAAACAGTTGTTGTAACAGATCGCAATCCAGTCGGGCTGTGTTGCAGCCCACTGTATCTGGTTGATTTCTCCCTCCGCTGTGTAGGCCAGTATCGGGTCTTCAATTGCTCTGGGCATTTGTTGGATGTCCCAGATAAGTGCTTGGTGATCGTCAGCTGAGGAAAAGAAAAGGAACCAACACTTCGTAAATATAATTCCACATAAACATCATTAAATTAAACAGTAAATCATAAACGGTTGGCTATAATATATGTAAGCGATTTGGCCGCATGGGAAATGGTTTTGTTTCCCATCCTTTCGGTCAGGTTTCAATCCCCTGCTGTGCATTTCGATTGTGTCCATGAGCAAGTCACTTTATCTGTATTGTTTCAATCTACCCAGCTGTATCAATGGCTACCAGCAAGTAATACTGGGAGTGACCTGCAGTGGACCAGTGTCCCACCCAGGGGGAGAATCATACTTTCATCCGCTTCACACTACAGAAACTGATTATAAACCTTCATGGCTCGGCAAGGATATAGTTTTTAAAGATATTAAAAGCAAAACCAACTGAGTTACATTTATTGTTGTCAAGTTGGTGAAATTTTACACGTCATCGTTAAATCTTATATCAACCTTAACAGTGATAACACTTCCATTGACAAAACGGTAGTGTTATCACTTTTAACGTTCATATAAGTTTTAGTGATTGGATGTAAAAGTGATACCACTACCATTGACAAAAATGGGTGAATTTTCTTACTTTGCAAGTCGCTTGTGTCCTTGGGCAAGGCACCTTATCTATGTTTGTCTCTCTCTACCCAGGAGTATAAATGGACACCTGGTAGGATGTTGTTACTGTACTAGTTTTGTGCGCCGAGTACATGCACACGGCTAGTTAAACTCATGGGGGATTGCCGGTTTGCCATTGTTTGCTATCCTATGGCCAGGGTTAATAACACTCGGCGCCTTTCAACATTGATTTGAAATTGGTGCTATATAAATCTTTGTCATTATTTTCTAAATGCCTTATTTTAAGCCAAAGTAAAAGAAGCAAAGAGAGATACAGCAATAAAACAATGTCTTTGAATCTGCCACCCAACTCAAGCAATAAAACAATGTCTTTGAATCTGCCACCCAACTC